GTTTCCAGCACCTTGTTGAATCTATGCCACAAAGAATTGAGGCAGTTCTGAAGGCAAAAGGAGGTCCAACCCGTTACTAGCAGTTACCTAATAAAGTGGCCGGTGAGTGTATATTCCAAACGTGAAGAAATCCTGGTTTTACCCTAATGTAGACCAGTCTTTATTCCTCCCATCTGAACAGGGATCATTTGTCTCCCTTCATAAATCTTGGTTCTTACATTAAATGTGGAATTACTACCTTTTTTTTTTATATGGTTTGACATTCTGTGAGATCTTGCCTTTTGTATCAGCCTCTAATGCAGCTAAAACCTTTCTGATCAGGTTGTCTATATTGGGTTAGTCCGATTGCTCTAAACTAAAAAAAAAAATGTTTTTTTTTGATGTGGAAACATTCAACTGTAGTAGAATTAATGTAGTAGTGTTGATGTTAACTGTCTTGCTTTTAGAAAAAAAAATAGTGAATGAGGAGCTGATCCCACTGTGTGGTTTTTTTTGTTCTGTTTTTTTTTTTTTTTGGCAGGTTGTCCAGAGGTTATTTGTTGATGCAGAGGATGAACAGAGCACAGCTGGGACGGATGAAAATCCCTCAATAGAAATCGAGCGGATCCCAGCTCCATCCTCGCCTGTATGTGATTCATTTCATTCACAGTTGGCGTTTTATGTGCAAATCTTAGAGTGAGAGTTTTGATTCATTTCTCTGAACTTCTTCAGTCTGAGCCTCTCTGTGAGGGAAAGGCCGAGAGGTGTAACCAAGATGACTGCGAGGAAGAGGAGGAGGAGGAGGAGGAGCTCAAGACCTTCCTCCAGGCACCACATAGGAAATCTGTCATCATTTTCTCAACTGGTAAAAAGTTGATCAGAGCCTCACAGTTTGAGAACCAGGAAGGTTCAGACCAACCTGCCCCAGCTCCATCATCACTGGCAAAGTTAACGACTGCAACCGGTGACCTGTCAGAGCTGCCTCATCAGATCCACTCTGCTGTTCGGTGTCTGCACAAAGGTTCCCCAGACACTTCAGTTCCCTCTGAAATATAAAACCCCGTCGTATGTTTTTCTAACACATTTTCCCCTCTGTGATAGGCGTATTCAATAAGCCTTGTTCTTTGAGTCCGGCGGTGGCCATGTTACGGAAACGTCTCCCTCATATAGCGGAGCTGCGTCTGGATCAGGAGGTTGAAACCTACACCTCCGCATCTGTCCCTGCTGTCTCTCCTCTGCCTCGCTGTGGGAACCCGCTGGCCTCCGTGTTCCAACTTAAGGACTCCATGGTGAATATATGAAGGAATACAAAAACATTCAGATGGAAACAAGTGTGATAATGTTTTTGGAAATGAAGATGATTAGACCAAAGCAGAAATAATTTACTGACCTTTCAGAGACCAAATGGATTGATTTAACAATTCAATTTATTTACATAACGCCAATTCACAACACATGTCATCTCAAGGCACTTTACAGTTCACCAGATCATACAGTCAAATTGATTCAAAGGGCCGGATTTATCAAGATCTAATTTTGCGTGCAGTAATTTGCGCTCGCAAACTGGAATTTTGCGCGAGGGGCTGAACCATGGTTTGCGGGTGATTTAACAAGAGTGATTGCGTAACTGGTGGCAGGTGCAAAACTGTTGGAGACGCCCTATTTAAATGATGGTTTTGCGCGTTTTGTGGTTTGCGGCAAAGTAATTTGTAGTTTGTACAAACTAGTGCATTAAGAAATTTTAATCTTACAGTGACACCCCCACCCCCTCCAAAAAAACCTAATTTAACTTGATGTGTCCAACTGTATTTAATGACAGTCGTCTTTAATGGATCCTCACTGGGTTACATCGTTCCTGTGGTCATTCAAGTTAAAGCAGTTAGAGCCATACCTTAACCCCTTGAACCCTACGGACCCACCGGCGGGTCCAGCTGCTACGTGACCTCGTAATTTTACCAAACCCCCAGTATTGATGTAAAAAACATATTTGGCACAGTTTGGTGACATTTATGGATAAATGTGCCAAAATGGCCTCTCCGCCTAAGAAATTTCTCACTAATGCCATTCTAAAATAAATATGATTCATCTGATTGAGTCCAAATTTGGTATATTTTTACACAACATTTACATTTAAAAGTCTGTACTACTTTTTTGTGCTATAAATAATATTTTGGTAGTGTTTTGCAATGTTTATTTCAAAGAAAATTTTGGCGAGGTTCAAAAAATGCAAAATATTTTGTATTTTGTCCCTAATATTTCAGGCAGGGTCAAAGCTACAATGGTGCTGACACCAGAAAACCATTCTATGACATCTTACCTTTACAGACGTACCAAAAGTTTCTTCTTAAATCTAATAGCTTTGAGGCTATAAGTTATTTACTTTTGTGTGTTTTTGTCAGGCAGAAATTTATTTATACCCCCTTAGGGTGTAAGAGGTTAATATAAAGATGATTCCTTGTTTGCTTTGTGTGTGTCAAACAAGGACAGAAAACTACAGTTTTTGTTGTTGTTTTTATTTTATGCAGCATTTAGGCCAGTTCACGCTCTGCTGTGAAATGTTCACATTAACCTGCAGGTCATTCCCCTAGGATGCTACCTGAACTACCTCCTCTGCAAAAATGAATTAGGCCCCTGAGATTCCAAAAAATGGGCCCCTTCCTCTCCATGCGTCTAGTTTCACAGTCCTTAGATCCACAAAACAACGGTGTACTGAACAGTCTAATTACCATAAATCCATTAGCAAGTCTGAAGATGGAAATCAGTTCTATTTTTCCTCAACAGGGTGCAAGAGAAAGATCTTTTAGGTGTCTGAAAAATGACTAAATTCTTCTCATTACTGGATGGTCAAGACTGGGTCTGCTAAACAAAAAAAACAAAAGCAGGTTTATGGTTAGTTGAAAATCCTAAAAATGTATTCGGTACCTATAAAAGTAGATGGATGCCGTTTTGACTTATTTGTGATCAACTAAAGTTTTGAGGCCTTCAGAGAAGTTTCTTTGGGGGGATTAAGTGTTTTAGTGTATCCCTTCTGGATGCTGCTTGGTACAGGTGGGTCCTGCTGGATTTGGCAGATAGTTTGGATCGAAATATGCACCAAAGTTTATCACAGGTGTTAATTTTCGTTTTCTGTATTTTCTTTTGTATGATTAGTTGTTAAACGAAAGCTGGTGTTCACCTTTTCCCAGACTATTTAATTACGATTTCATACACGTCTTTAGATGCTAAACTGCACTGTGCAGCAACCCTCAAACAAAATCTAAGCTTTAGCTTAAATGGAACAAAAGCCTTTATATTCTGGGTGGTTTAAAAAAAAAAATAATGTCAATGTTTTGTTTTTGTTTTTCAGAGATTTATCCCAATCGACTTGGATCTCTCTTCTGGTCCATTGTTGTTCAGTTCCTCGCAGCATGAGAGATAATTTGCACGCAAAGAACACTGGAAGAAAGTAAAACCTCACCTCTAGAGTAATTAAAGTCTGAAGATGTTTTTTATAGTTATGTTGAATTTGCATAATAAAAATAAGGGTGTATATTTTACATTTGGGGCATGTGTGATTTTTATTTCAGCCGTTTTTGTTCATGTCTTATTGGCCTCAACTGTTTTCTAAAAATATAGTTTATATGGCAGAAAACTTTGACCAAAACTAGGATAAAAATCCCTTTTTAAGTGAAATTTTCCTCTTTCTGTTGGCTTAAGATTATTAAATTATGGTTTATTAAATGGTTAAAACACTTTTATAAAATCCTATTTAAAGAAACGCATCCATCTCCTGCGGTTGGTTCAGGTTTAACCGTTTTATTCAGGAAGGTGCTGATTGCAGTACAGTTCCCATGATGGCAACACTTTAAAGTTTAGAGACGAATGGGCGCTCATGCTTGTGAAAATCTTTAGCTTCCTTTCAGCTTAATTCATTATTCTCTATGGTAATGTTTCCCAACCTTTTTTGACTTGTTTACCCCTTTGGGCATTGTCTCACTACGAGTCCCCCCTCAGTCAAAAGTATTGATTGTCCAAAAGTGGAACGTATACTAACTAATTATAAAATAAAAAATATTTTACTTGATCTTTTAACTTGAGCACTTAATTATTAGGCACTTAATGCTTTCCATTTTAAAAAAAAACCAAACAAATATGTTGCCT